GAGCCCAATGCCAGCACTTCACAGCTTCAGAGAGAGAAGTGGGAGAAGGAGTGGGATGCCAAAGGGTTGTGTGAGTGGAGCGTAAAGGAGCAAGGAACTTAAGAGAGAGGGGTCGCGACCACACCCGTGAACTATGCTGGAAAGGTGAATTGACGATGGAAGGAAAACTGAGAGGAAGGGAAGGTCAAGATTATGCATATGTAGCAGGGATAAAGGGGAGTGTGGTAAGATAACGGATTCACGAGGGTTTTTTGTCACAAACAACGGTCGAGACGAATCCAATTTGCTGTCGCTTACAGTCGTTGACAGCAAGCAGCTCGACATCGAACACTTCGAATTGCTTTGCGCTGAAGAAGGTGCCTGGTCCCACAGGTGGACCCAGTTCCGGCGGAACAACCAGTCGTCTTCTTCCACCAACATGCATCGTCTTCAGACCCAATTCAAAACCCGGAATCATCACGTTATTTCCCATTCGTACTTCTGTCGGCTTCCCCTGTCTGTAGCTGGTGTCCACTCTCTTACCCAGCTCGTTGTACGCCGTGTAATGGAACACCACTTGCTGCCCATCCATAGGAGGCGGTTGATTAACTTGACCAGCCTCGTAGTCCTTGAAGATGAGCCCTTCATTCGTCGTAACATAGTCATCGTTGGTAATCACCTGCACTTTGAAGCCCTCCCTGATGAACCCGGGGAAATCCGCAGGCGCACCGTTCACATCCTGCATCCTCCTATTCTGAGAAAGCAGCTTCTGCTCGTCATATAACAACTCTTTTCCTGCCCGGGACGAGGGCGACGAGGATGACGAGGTTGACGAGGTTGTTGCCGTTGTCGTGGCAGCCGTCATCGAAGACGAGGTGGTAGCAGCAGAAGCAGAAGGAAGATGGGTTTGTCTCCATGCTTTTTCCCATCCCTCGTTTTGTTCATCGTGACTTTGTGGGACTTGCTGGCCGAGGAGCAGGGCCGTAAATACCCCAAATGATGACGCCAGGATGACTGATCGCCGCCCTCCATGTGCTGCAGTCGCTGCTGCAACTTCTCGTGGTTCCGAATTCACTATCCCACTCCCGGCCGGTTTGCATGTGTTTGTGGCAGTGCGGCTGGCTGTGTCTGTGATGTCAGAGATCTCTTCGACCAGTGGGAGTGGAGGCGGCGAGAGGCTATTACAGATGACGGTTGCTGAGTTCTTCTTTGCACCAGTGCGGGACTTGTCGCCATGGTCGCTTCTGTCTACGTTCCATTTGCTCCCAGCCGCCCCCAGCACGCCTCCGGTACTCTTCATGCATTTTCGATGACAAATGCAGAAGTCAGATCCCCGCCGTGCACTGAACCCTCTGCCGCTGGCATCCCCGGCTTGTCTCGCCCACCCCTCTGAACCCATCTTAGCAACAGGCACGCTTCTTGATTTCTCCCCTCTTTCATTTATCACTCTCCTTGTTTCACGAGCTGCAGCCACGACACCAGATGACGCCCCCAGAGCAGCTGGCGATGCTGCCATCGCCATCTTATACCTTCACCCGGCTCAATGGAACCAGCTTCAACGAGGACAAGCAAAACAAATGGGTACACAAATATTCGTCACTACGTACAGAAGGGTGTCTGTCACATGTTTTACACGAACATGACAACCAACTTTAACCCACACTGGCAAAAACAGGAAACAAAAGGGCCTCTCGCTCCACCACTCAACACTCGCCACACACACAAATATTTGTCACTACGTATGGAAGGGTGTGTGTCACATGTTTTACGCGAACATGATAACCAACTTTAACCCACACAGGCGAAAACAGGAAACAAAAGGGCCTCTCGCTCCACTACTCAACACTCGACACGCAGCTGGATTGTTAAACCACCAGTACCTTTCCCAGGTATTTTGCCGAGACGCGCCGGGGAACCTGGGGGCCAAGCAGGGGAGGGTCGCCGTCGATAAATCGAATCGGTGGCCTGTTTTTCGTTTCGGGCCTCCGAAACTGACCGCGGCCGACATAGGGGAAAGGTACTGGTGGTTCAAATGCAGCAGATACATTCCGACTGATCCAACATTTTTTTATGTATTGGGACATTTTTTTTACCGGATCCAGACACAATCGAATGCTGCGTCCCAAAAACAAAGACTAGCTCAGCTGGTACACCCATGAACTGTTGAATTACAGACCCAAGTTCGAATCATGATTGGGGGGAAAAAAGCAAAAAGAAAGAGGGAAAAAAGAGGGAAAAGAGCAACAAAAGGGCACAGTTCATCGCTCCATGGGAAAGGAATCAAAGGATGTTACATGTGACAACCACATGACACGCACATGCCAACCCTGACAATTGAATAGAGTGTTTTTTTTTTTTTTAACAAGAACATCCCCCTGCAATGCTAGAGGTGCTGATAAGAGCAGACACCCCTAGCACCCGGGGAGGGACTCCATCTATTGGTGGGGAGCATCACCTGCTGGAAAACGGGTCCAGCGTCCCATTGCAGATTGAATAGAGGTTTATAAAACCGTTTATTAAAAAAAAAAAAAAATCAAAACGAAAAAAGTTCAAAAAACATTAGCAAATGGTAAACCAATTTAACCAAAGGGTTCCCCCAAAAAATGAAAACATAAATTAACCAACAGGATTTGCTGAATACCTTTCTCAGCCCTTTTTTTTTTTTTTTTTCAAATTCACACTCCGTCTTTTTTATGTATACAAGCCAGGAAACGGGCCCGGCGTCTCTCACAATGCTTACGCAGTTCGTCCTGGGAGCCAGGCATCACCGGCCTGACTCGAAGGGGTCACTGCAATGACAAACGCCCTATCTCAGCTAACCTACCACAACAGCAAGAAATGGCCAAAAAACCATTTTTACCATGTTTATCACTACCAGCAGGAAAGAGTTACTGTACGGTGTGCCAACAAAAGGCAACAGAATCAACCGTCAGACTCTCTCAGAGATCAACCTAAGCTGACAAACCACTCACAAGGTACACACAAGCTAAGCCTACCTACAGTACAGTACTGTGCACGTGCGGCCGACAGCTGGGCCAAACGCCGGAGCCTCGAGGCACTGCACTGCGCGCCAAGCTTTTCGGAACTGCCAGTTCCTTTTTTTGGCTGACGCCGCCAGCCATTGTAGTCCGGTAACCCCGAGGTGCGAAATTCTTCTTGGAGTAGGCGACGATCAAAGCTCCTCAAGGGTGGGGCCTGTGTACCGCCAATACACCCCGGCCTCTGAGGGCCGTGGAGGCGCTGCACTGCGCGCCAAGCTTTTCCAAACCGCCAGTGGCACACTTCTTTTCTTTTTCGGCTGGCACTGCCAGCCATTGTTGCCTGGTAGCCCCGCGCTGCATAATTTTCGGAGTAGGCGACAAGCAAATCTCCACAAGTATGGGGTCCGCGTACTAGTGGTTTAAGTCCAATAGACGCTAATAAGTCCAATGCTAAGTCCATAGATAGTTCCAGGAATAGATGTGCACCAAGGCTACCTCCAGAGATACCAAATAGACGTAGCATACTCAACACGTATTCCTAGAACCGTCTGGAGGTAACATTGGTCTACATAATATATATTCTGGAACTATTTCTGGAGGTAGCAATGGTTCCACGTCTATTCCTGGATGGTTTAGAAGTTAGAACTATTGCTGGAACTATCTATCTTTGGACTTTGTGTTGGGTTCAAATTTATCCCTGGAACTGTCTGGAGATAGATACAAGCTCTTATCATTACCCCTAGCTGGACCTTCAAGATGTTAAAAAAAAAAAGAACAAAGAGATAGCATTGGTCTACCATGTATTCCTGGACCTATCACCGTAGGTAGCATAGCATCAATCAATCCAGTGTATCGTGCCTTTGATCATCATGACCAGTGGAATGATAACGACCTTTTCTAAGCTAGTTCACGAATCCACGTGGATCGGATAACGATCTTTTGAGAACGATCTTTGTAAGATAGTTCCAAGAATCCATGTGGATCAGATAACATCCCCCAACCATGTCTAGCAGCTGTTTTTCATACAGCTTCTCTCCGGAATCGTTCTTGTGTTTTTTTTTTTTTTCCGATTTGCTTTCCTGAACGGGTTTCATGAGACAAAGTTACCTTCAATTGAAGGCCGCGAGATGCAGTTGAACGGATTCGTGAGGTGTGGGTAGGATTAGAAACTAGATGCCTTCGGTCAGGAAAGCGGCAGCATTTTCCTATGTATTGCGTTGAAACTCTTCCCAGATAGTTCCAGTGATCAATGTGGATCGGATAACGATCTTCCGAGATCGGTCCATAAGTCCATGTGAATCGGATAAAACCCTTCCGAAATAGTTCTACGATTTTTTTATTTTTATTTTTTTTAAACACCCCCCCCCCCTCTAGTGCTAGTGGACCAGTGGTGTTGATAAGAGCAGACACTGCTAGCACCTAGGAGAGGGTCCATCTATTGGTGGGAAGCAACACCTGCTGGAAAACGGGTCCAGCGTCCCATATACAGATACGAAATCAGGTCAAGGAATTCACGTTGATCCGATAACGATCTTCCGGGAGAGGTCCGGGAACCTACGCAGATCGGATTAAGGATCTTCGGGGATAGCTCCACGAATCCATATGGATCGAAAAACAATCTTTCTGAGATAGTTCCCTGAATCCATGTGGATCGGATAATGATCTTCTGAGTCTTTTCTGACCCAAAAATTTGATTGAATGCCGATCTAATCAGGCAAGTTACCAATGGCGCAAAGCACAGTTCCGACCATCCGGGTATTATAGCAGGACGTGAAAACACCGGATCCCATTCCGTAGGACGTGAAAACACCCGATCCCATGCCGTAGGATGTGAAAACACCCGATCGCATTCCGTAGGATATGTGTGACGGACCCGACAGGATGGCGTCGGGTCCGTCACGATCAAGACGAAGGGATGAGGATGGGGGAGATGGAGATGGAGCTGGAAGGGACAGCGCAGCTCCAACGCAGACTCAACACGCACGTACTCCAAAGTGTGTAAATGAAGAATGAGAGACAAAACAGACTGCAGCTGGGGTATACCCCCAGCGGGCTAACTGGACTGGACTGGACTGGTACCGACGGTGGTACCGGGCTGGACTGGACTGAAACAGCACACGGCCTGTGGGGTCAGGCCATGGCCTGGTCCCACAGGCCTAACAGGCAAAATAGCCTGATAGCCCTGGCTGTAGGCCAGGGCAGCTACAGGCACGCTGCAATGTGAAAACACCTGATCCCATTCCATAGGATGTGAAAACACCTGATCGCATTCCGTAGGATGTGAAAACACCCGATCCCATTCCGTAGGATGTGAAAACGCCCGATCCCATTCCGTAGGATGTGCAAACACCCGATCCCATTCCGTAGGATGTGAAAACAAGCGATCCCATTCTGACCTCGATCCATGAAATAGTCTTACGCCATATGAGATAGTTCCAGGAATCCATGTCGATCAGATAGCAATCTTCCGTGCGGATAGTTTTAGGAGTCCATGCGGATCGACCGGGAGCTAGGCCTTCGAATTTGGTGAAGATAAATGCCACAGCACCCACATGGACCGCGGCAGCTATTCCAGGAATTGATACATATCAATTGCTAGAATAATTGCGATTGAAATAGATATGCATGTCTACTGCATTCACTGAATTCCAATCTGTTTGCATATCGATTCTGTGGATCATGCCTGCGATCATCAGGACCTTAACACTCTGTCCTGAAAGAACTCAAGTCTTGTGTAAAAGTTTTTCAACAAATGAGGAAAGAATCTTGAGCCAATGAATCAAAATGAGACTTTGACTTGTTTGACTACTTTTCAGAACAGAATGTTGACTTCTTTCTGAACAGAATGTCAAACTTTGACATTGTTTTTAATGAAGTCAAAGATGTCAAAAAGGTCAAAGCAAAAAAAGAAAAAAAAAGAAAAAGAAAGAAAAGGTCAAAGCTGACTAACACGACACACCAGCGTTGTGGACTTTTTCAAGGGTGGCTTACATAACAACCCAGTGGAATGGGTATGGTTTTTGACAATCTGATATTTTAATGCCAGCAGCCCATCCATATCCATCCTTGTTTCATCCATGGCAGCGCAATGAGATGCTTCTGGTTTCCATCTCTCGCAAGTTTAGTCCTGATGTATACATGGATCGAAATTTTGCTAATGATTAAAAAAGACTTCTTTGTACACTGGTCACTCCCTGCTTTGTAATGAGAGCCAAAGCCCACTGCCAATCGTATCTCTATATGCCAAACAATGTTAAAAAAACAAGTTACTCAAGCGTCCGATAAAGGCCGACGTGTATGGTGGGGGGGGGGGGGGGGGGGGG